TAGGCTTTCATATCCAAGAATAATCGTATAGATCTATCAAACCTAACTAATAACTTTATCTCTGTTAGCACTTTCTAATCTTCTCCGTAACGACCTTAATCATGACTATTGGGTTATAGTACGTAAGTCAAGACTGTTTACACATAGATGGGTGGTGAAGGGGATTCTAAGTCACGGACTGAGATTGTGAGTCGAGCGCCCTAACCATCAGGCATTACCAGACCCCTGTTAGTTTCTCAAATATTTGTTATTAATCAATAAAGCATTTTATTTGCATCATGAGATCCTCTCAAGAGCAAAACTATTAAGAAACAGTACCAAAAAACGTATAAAGACATTTCTATGGTTACTTCTTATTTTCCTGTAATTCTTTTAAAGATGTAGACTTTATTGTTTACTTTGCGCTGCGTAAAATTGTAACTTTTTCATTTTCAGAAAATATACATATGTCAGACTCTACAATTTATAAACTATTGTAGACAAGAAATAAAACTAAAAGCATACCAACTTGTCTTTGTAAATAGAGAAATGTGGAGAGGCGATACTAAATGCATATGGTAATTTATAATTGTTGCTAAGGTGCTCCCAAACGATTTATCTAGGAAACCCAGTTGATGCTTTTATATAAAACTGCTTGCTGTAAAAAAATATATTTAAAATAAAAGACAATCTAAGCAAGCATGAGAAATCGTTCAAAATTTATTTTATATCATCAAATTAAAGCTAAAATTGATATTCATTTAAGTTAAAAGAAACTTCGTTCGAATTCCATGGAGATAAAACAAGGAGTTCGATTACTCGCGGTGGACAGAGATCACAAAACCCACTGTGGACAGAGATCACAAAACCCACTGCGGACAGAGATCACAAAACCCACTGCGGACAGAGATCACAAACCCACTGTGGACAGAGATCACAAACCCACTGTGGACAGAGATCACTAAACCCACTGTGGACAGAGATCACTAAACCCATTGTGTGTATTTGAGCTAAATTAAACAATCAAACAAAATGTAATATAATTTTCAATAAAAGTAAGCCAACTTCAATATGTAATGGATGAGTTCGATTACTCGCGGTGGACAGAGATCACAAAACCCATTGTGTGTATTTGAGCTAAATTAAACAATCAAACAAAATGTAATATAATTTTCAATAAAAGTAAGCCAACTTCAATATTTAATGGATTGTTTATGACATTAGTAATATGTATGCTGATATAACCGTATATCTAGGTTTTAACTTATTAATAATACATTAGCTAAAGATTATTTTACGTAAACAAAAGATATAAATACTAAATATTTAAAGTACCCTGGTATGTGTTAAAGTTCCATAAAGTAGCAAGTATGAATTAAGCATATCTCTTTGACAAAATTTATAACTAGCTCTGACACCAACTTTTATTTATTGTTCTCGACATTTTAGTATAACACCTATTTTGTTGCTTCATACAAATTATGATTTCATCAGTACAGCAGAACCAAAAAGTTCAGTTCCATATCAGAACCCAACTTTTCATTCCTACAGCATATTACAATTTTCACTTATGCTTCCAATATTAGCACTAAGAAAGAACTCTAAGCTTTAGTTGTAATGCACGACCAAGATTCTAGATCTCAGCAGAACGCAAAGTTTTAGTTCTACAGCAGAAATTTATGTTCTAGGTTTAGAGTAGAAATCAACGTTTGGATTTTTATAGCAAATTAGTGTTTCAGTTCTATAGAACAACTCAAGGTTTTAATTCATTAGTTCCATCGAATTCTTTAGTTTTATAGTAAGCCTTCAGTTATAAACTTAAACAATAGTTTAATTTCTGTGTTAAATCCAAATGTTTAGCACAGTTTGTTTTTCACTCCCTTCCGTCAACAAATAAAGGTTTTCAATCAATGTTTCAGATCTTCAGTAAAACGTTAGATTCCTATATTTTACTCAGAACATCTCATTATGAAAATCAATTCACTTTTAATAATCAGGCACTTTCTGCTAATTTTTTTGTTATTAGTCAATATGTTTGTTCTTCCATCTTATATCATAACTCAACTAGATTGCATGCCGACTAAAACATCTGTGCTTTAAATCATAAAAGAATAACCAAATGGACAACACTATGATACATATCGTAAGAAAATAGAGTATAGATTTTAGATGAGTAATTATATTTAAGGAGTAGATTTAGGCATAAAAGAAACGTTTTATTCTTTTTTGGTTTCTAGTGAGGTATTTGTGCTTTTCAGAAGTAGGAAGTCAAAAACACAACAAACAAACTTGAGCTTGATAATTTGCAAAGCAAGGAAAGAATAATAAATAGTAACTTCTATTTACTGAAACGAATTATTTATTGACGTCACATCAACATACAATTACATGTTCTGTAAAAATGCATTTCTTTAATACTCGGGGCACACAATTAATTGTCAAATCAGTTAGGTCTTTTGCAAATATATATAAATACATACAGAGGTTTATTTTAAACATCACTGATTTAAAGATACGTAAATGCACAATGCATGTTACTATCGTCATATCATTATTTCAAATTAGCATGTAAATTCCAAGATCTGAACCGTCAAATGAGAAAGTTTAGTGATAATCTCAACTGTCTTATAAAATTTAATTAATCGTTGTATAGATTTTATCATATCATGTAATTAACATAAAGAATATTCTTGAAAAAATAATATTCTGTTGTTATGAGATTGACAAATGGGGCACTTGGATGTTTTGTCTTTCCTGCTTAACAAACATGTAGCACTTGGATGTTTTGTCTTCCCTGCTTAACAAACATGTAGCACTTGGATGTTTTGTCTTCCCTGTTTAACAAACATGTAGCACTTGGATGTTTTGTCTTCCCTGCCTTATAAACAACATACCATCTACAGACTGCTGCGACAGGTGAGCAAATTAGTTTAATCTATCCAGATGGAAAACTTTTTAATACAATATCTGTATCAACACACTAGTTTAATAGTGAGTTTATTAGAATGGACCGAGTTAATCACCCGGATTGATCACTGCGGTTTCGAAGGCTTATCTTATATCACGTTATCTATTCATTTATCTTTTATTTTGTAATTATCAAATTGATATGTCTACTTAAATATCCATCCGATTATTATAAATTGTCCGTAACTACTATAAACTTACCGATTCCCATCTTTATCCCTGACCAAGTCTCCCTTAGGAAAGTGACGAACCGACGGTAGAAGGACTGCCTATTGTTTTCACTGCTAGTATGTCTTCGATAGCTTCTGTGCCTGCTAGGATTGTCCCTAGTGTCCGAGTGTCCATACATCATGCCGTGCATTATTAATACTGTGATAGATGTACGAAAACACTAGTGCGTATTCCACGAAATGTTTTTTTTTTATATACTGATACAGTACTGGCAACAAGACAGACACTTGTTGAATGTAACAAAGCTGGATCACGATCGTCTTTCTAAGGACAATGTAAACAGTATATTACCTAAATAATCTTACTGATACAATCCCTTTAGGTACTAAAATACATTACACGTTTATTAATTTCTGCATATGGTAAAAGCAGATGCGTAGACCGGACTAGACTACTCGTGAAGCTTTCTAGTTTTCCACAGCGTGTCAGACAGGCGACTGGCATGGGCTACAAACTACACGAGCAGATTATGCTTTGGACTCGCCCTCAGTCAAAGTGACGTAGACGCACTGAATATTTGCTGGTCAACTTGACTGGAGCCTGTTGCACGTAATCGTCATATGCGAAATACACATCTTATTTTTATAAGGACTATATATCTAAGAGGGTGTTCATAATTATTATATGGACTATGTATCTAAGAGGGTGTTCATAATTATTATATGGACTATGTATCTAAGAGGGTGTTCATAATTA